CTCAGCACAGCAAAGGGCATGAGTTCCACGCTTCTGTCACTTCACCTGCCTCTCCCGCCGAGTGGGAGCATTGGGAGGGGCCCAGTGAACGCCGTATGCACACACTGGGTGCTGCAGAACCCAAGAACCCTGAGCTTTTGTCCTGGACAGTAAACAAATCTCCTCTGCCCCACAGGAGGGCACTCTGTCCTCTGAGGTGGTTTGCTGTACAAACCTGAAAAGACGGTTCAGAACAGGAGGGCAGATACACCTCCGCTCACAGGAAATGCAGAACATGCAATCCCCGTGGAGAACTGCCTCTGAGTATCCAGTGCCTCTCTCTTCTCGATAGCTCTTACATGGTTACTTTCTCGTAGTTTTTTGTTCCCACCAGAACATAAGTTCCACAGGAACAGGAAGCTTCTCTGCTTGGCTTCTGCTCTTCCCCCACCATGCAAAACAGCACTTAGCACCACTCAGCGCATAATAGAAATTCAGTAAATACAAGTTGACCAAATAAATCTCTCACAATCTTACTTGTCTTTCAAGACCCGGCGTAGACGACCTGCCTTCAGAAGAGCCATTCCAGACCCCTGGAATTGAGATTTTAATATCCAGGCATCGTGGCTTTCATAATACTACTTCTTATCTTTTAAGCATGGCTCTTGGAGTTAAACCTATTGTGTTGTAATTCTTTTTACATGTGTTTGTTTGACTAGATTGAAAAATTTCTGAAGGCAGGGATGGAGCCTTATCTGCAGGGCTTAGGCTAAATTGAAACACCTCCAGTGCAAAGTCTAAGGAGACACTCATTCAAGTTCATGCATATGACCCCAGGTGCCTTCCTTGTCTCACCCTTATCCAGCCCTAATAATCTTTTTTCTTTTTTTTTTTTAATGGCTACACTGGGTCTTCCTTGCGGTGCTGAGGCTTAGCTGCCCCAAGGCAGGTGGAATCTTAGTTCTCTGACCAGGGATCAAACCCATGTCCCCTACATTGGAAGGCAGATTCTTAACCGTGGGACCACCAGGGAAGTCCTTCTGATTATCTTTATACCCTCAGAACCCACTAGAGTGGCATTCATCTAGTAGACCATCAATGCATTTCCCATTAAAATGGCTAGATTTTAAAGGATCACAAGCAAAAAGTGTTTGAGACCTAAGTGTCTCATACCTGTACCTGGTACTGACCCTCCACCCCTTCAGGGTCACGCTCAGCCACTCCATGCTTCACTCTGTGCCACAGAAGGCAGACTTGTCCAACCTTCCCTGAAAGGCACTCTTGGCATCGAGCTTCGGGCTGTGCTTGGTGGGCGGACACCCAATAGGAGCTGGAAGGGTGGCGAGCAGGAAGGAATGGCTTTAGCGTATCTGCTCCTCGAACGCCTCACTGCAGGGCCACCTTGAGCTGACTGTCTCCAGTGAAGACCTAGATCTGACCAGTCAGTCCCGCCTCCTGGGCACAGTTACCGTCTTCAGGTCTCCGTGACTGCCTCCTCCCCTTGCCCCTTCCTGCCTCCCAAGGTAATAACTCCCCATCGAGGCTGGCTCTGCAATGCATTCCCATACCTTTTTATCTCCCTCAAGCCTGCCCACACTTTTTTATGAGTTCATTTACTGAAACTTTTCCAATTACCTCATTTGAACATTTTTATTTTTTCTACTGGGTCTCCAAAAGACTACAATATTGAACCTCAAGAGATACTTATAATAAGCGTGGGAAAAAGCAAAGATATAAAATATAGTTCTTAAAATTTTTTATATAAAAGATGCCATCTTAAAGGAAATTTGACAGCACCTATATGACATTTTATTGATTCAGTGGATCACAATAGCTAAAATTGATGAAGTAATGAAATTAGGCCAAAGGGGAACTTGTTTGAAGGCCAAGAATATTGGTGATGTATTATGGGCATTGGGAGGGGAGGAGGGTATTTTTATAATTTATGTTTATGTCATTAATAAGTTAATAGGAAATCTATATATCAAAATTAAAATGCTCAATTATATGATTACAGAGGGTCTTAGATGATTCCAAGAATTATTAGGGCATAATGACTTTAAAGAGTGTGGAAACTAAAGGCTGCTATTCAAAATTTTTTAAAATTATTTTAATGATTAACATTCTAAGCATTAACAGTCTTTATTCAAAATGGCATAAATGGTCCTGGCTAGGAAAAGTAAAGCTTTAATTGAATAGAAAAGGGTTAAAGTTGATATACTGTTTTACCTGGGAAACTCAATTACCAACAAGTAGAAGAGCAAATTGATTAATAGATGGTTTTAACAAATGGTTTAACTACAAATAGAGTGAGAGGTGATGGAAATTCTACTAATTAAATTCATAACATCTTAATAAGCCCAGAGAATTTTGGATAATAATAGCAGGTTTATTTTGATGTGGGGTTGACATGTTACTTTAGATTCTGACTCTTCTAATGGTGTCATTAAAGAAAAAATCTTTGGAGGAATTGGGAAAGACAATTCATTAACCATTTTTTCTCTGCAAGTAATTAACTACAGAAAGAATGTGATTGCCTGTTAAATGTTAAGGTTGTTTAGAAGGTACAGAGCAGAATTGAATCCTTAGATTATTGCATCCCAAGATTTTCTTTTATGCAAGGAATCCAAATAATTGATGCACGAGGATGAATTATCCAGATTGTGATCTCATTTATTGTCTTCGCTTTAGTAACTGCAGATTAAATTTCAACTGACATTTATTGAACAGCAGCTGATTTCAAGGTATCCCATACATTGTCCTAGCTAATCTTCCTAACACTTTTGTTGTACAGGTATCAGTTGCATCTTATGGATGTGGAAACTCAAGTTCATAGATGTTTGCAACTGGCCATGGAGTTGCACTCAAACCCATACCCCATTACTTTAAGTCCTGCACAGTTTCCTGTAAACTTCATTTATGTCTCATTTATGGGCAAATAAATGAGAAATGAAACTTGAACATGGGTGTCAAAGCCACAAGCGCCAGGGAAACACCAGCAGCCCAGGAATGAATTTGGGCCTCCAAAGTTGGAACTGAAAACACCTTGAACTCAGTGGTGAAGTGTTTCTTTGGGGTCTCAGAGCAGAGAGACAGTAAGTTTACATTAAAACTGTTTTGTTTCCCTCATCTGTTACCGGTCACCTTCTCTGGAAACTATTTACCATTTTTTAACCTGATTTTTTGAGGAATAAGGAAAATATTATGACATAAAATGGTCAGCAGCTAAAAAGTGACTCATGGTTTATCTAAGGAATATAGAGCGGCTTTCCAGAAGACTGCATTTGCCTCTGCCAATGTTACAGATAAGCTTGTTATTTTACATATAGAGGATCAAAACTCTGAAAGGGAACAAACAACAATTTAAAATTCCAATGCCTGAGGAAAAAAAAGTATCCAAAGGGATAATTCCTCTGGTGTTCACTGTCTCCTATTCACAGAGAAAAGAATGCATACAATTGAAAATATATGAGAAAATGGAAAGAAGCAGGAGGTGGAGAGAGATGGAACAGAATCGCTGTTGTCTAGTAAAGAGCAGATGGTTCTCGGTTGGTAAGAATACCAATCGCTTTCCAGTGGTGTGTGACTTAGTAGAATAAAATAAATGACATATTGGTCCAGAGAGAAAACTGCCATACGTCTAAGCTGGCCAGAGAAATGAAGTGCTTATAGAATGTATTGAAGGAAACGTGATTATCATTTGCATTTTCCCCCCAGTTTGACTTTGTACCTTACATCCCTAGCTTCCTGCACACTATGCAGTGAAATGAGCTTTTTTTCTAGACCCACTCAGCAACCCACCCAAACACTGGCTCATAAGCGCCCAACAGAAACCAATCTGTAAAAAAGCTCCTGAAAACCCAGAGGGGTTCATTATGTTCTTTTCCTTATGGGAAATTTCTCATCCTGCCTTCTTGCCTTTCTCAGTCCAGAAATTGCTCTGGCCATCATTAGAAATAGTCTTCAATGAAACCTATACCTTTTCCTTTTTTTTTTTTTTACAAGAGTAAAACTCTTAAAAGAAGGCTCAACTAGGCATTTCCCTGCTGGTTCAGCGGTTTCAGTTCTGTGTTTCTACTGCAGTGGACTTGGGTTTGATCCCTGGTAGGGGAACTAAAGGCTTCTCTGGCGGCTCATAGGTTAAGAATCCACCTGCAATGCACCAGACCTGTGTACTATTCCTGTGTCAGGAAGCTGCCCTGGAGAAGGAAATGGCAACCCACTCCAGTATTCCTGCCTGGTAAGTCCTATAAACAGAGGAGCCTGGCAGGCTACAGTCCATGGGGTCGCAAAGAGTCCGACATATCTGAACTACTATCAGTCACTCACCCAGGGGGACCAAGCTCCCACAAGCCACCCCATGTAGCCTAAATAAAGACACTTTAAAGGAAAAAAAAAATTTTTTAACTCAAAAGATCAACTAGTCTTTCTAGGTAAACCTACTAGAAAGAAGCAGTTTCTCTGCTAATCCCTTCCTCAATTGTTTAAGCAGTGCCTCATCATTTTCACATAACCTGTCAGGTGAGGACTGGCCTGAACCGGCTCTCAGCCTAGAAGGGAAGACGGAACCCAGAGTGCATTGTAGTTAGGGTGCCTCACAGGCAAGAACGCCGGTATAGGACAGCACAGACATGGAAGCTGACCCACTTTATAATAATTTAAAATACATTGTTTCGTGATTGGACGGTGGTGCTGTTTCTTGCAAATACATACGCTGCAAATCCAAACTGGGCCCTGGCTATTCTGAGGTCGCTTCTGGGCAACGGGAAAGCAGCCTTCGCAGTGGGGTGGCTTCGGCGAGACGCCTTTCCGGTGGCCAGAATCTGCCCCGCACTTTTCAAGTGAGCCAGGACTTGACTCATGGTCACAGCGTCTTACGAGTTCCTTTAAATCTAGTGAGTGCCTTTTCTTTCTTTCTTTTTTCCCCTTTAACTTTTGTTGGAAAACACTAAAATGAGAGGGAAATGCCCACAAGTTATCTAACACGAGGCATACTCTAATCTGTATCATGTCTGCGTCAGGAGGCACCCCAGGCGACGGACAAGAATGAGGTCAGAGTCCTGAAAACAGCGACTCCTAAGCACAGAGAGGAGAGAGATTTTCCTTCTTTCCCTAGAGGATTCTCCTTCTGTTCATACTTCAAAGGGGAGGGCAGGCGGATGCAGTCCCTCGCTAAGGGCGCGGCCCCCATCACAGGGTCGGAGTCCCTCGCTAAGGGCGCGGGGCCACCACTTCCGGGAGGGACGGGCCGCGGGGACCGGAAGGGGAAGCAGGAGGGCGGCCGGAGGGCGGGGTCCCGCTCGGCGTCTCCCCGCTGAACCCTCCTGTCTTCGCAGCCATGTACGCCTCTGCCTGCTCCCATCCGCTCCTTGTGCTTTCTCCGCCTTGAGAAAAGTCCCGGAAGGTCGCCCAGTGTATCGTCCATCACGGCATCTTGACAGAACACCCCCGGTCCTGCTCGGGGAATACATGGGGCCATTCAGGGCTTTCAGCACGGGGAGGAGGAACCAGGTTATATCGTGAACCGAATGGCTTCTCTTGGCCATGAGGGATCTAAGTGTCGGAATGGATTTCCTAGAGGCTATCGCAGGATCTTCCAGCTCCGACAGCTTGAAGGAGAGAAGGGACCGTCGTGTCTAATGTTAGATAGGGATGGGAGGGGAAACTGGGCGGCGGGGGGGGGGGACAGCATAGTCCCCACATTTTCTTCCCACTTGAGATGTCTATTAAGACTCTGTTAGATACTGATCACAAGTGCTTTTGAAAAAGTATTGGATATGAAGTGAAACAAATTGCTGATCATTTACCTTTACTCAGATCACCTCCTGGTGTACATCAACAGTTGATGAGAAATAAGGAAATTAGTGGGAACTGTCCACTAAAGAGAAATTGCTGCCTGCCTCTCTGGTCTCTGTAGGCTTTCACAACCAGGAGAATCAGTTACCAGAAAGCTTGCTGGGGAAAATAAAGTTAAGGGACAAAATCGGGAAGAAATGATCTTTAAGTCAGTGACCCCATTTTAATGCCCCCTTCTCAACAACCACACCCGCACTCAATATTACTATCGACTTAAGTGAAAATGTGAATTGGGCCTCTAGTTCCCATTGATTAATCACACCGAGAGACAAATCAGCCAAGGGCCCAATTGAATTAAAAGGCTTCTTTATTTGCTGAACAAGATAAAACCCAGGAACAATCCTTTAACTTGAGACAGTTATGACTCAGTTGTGAACACTCAGCACAAAATGATCCTGAGATGAGGGAGAGAAATGACAGCTCTCATTATTATTGTTACTGTCATTAGTTACCATTATTACCACATTTTATTTAAAAAAATAAAAAGAAGAAAACTCATGGGAATAAAATAGATGTGCCACAGTAAAACTTCTCTCGAGAATTTAAAATAGAGAAAAAAGAAAAATTCAAGCTTCCCTGATTGTGCTTGAATTAAATGAATGTTTAATATACTCGGCTAACATAATTTTTTGGCCTAGGACTGTTAACTAAAAGGCTAAAAGGACTAGTACATTTTCAGAAAAGGAAAAGGAGATAAAGTCAAGATACTGCAGCAAAATAAATACAGTTCTAGTAGATAATTATCTGTCACACAACACAGTAACTTTCAATTAGCATGGTCACAGTTTGATTAAAACCTAAGTTTTCTTTGATGGGCTCTCCAGGAAGCTAGTGATTTGCATTTGCATTATGCTTAGACTGCTCATTTTGTTCTCCCCACCAGTTGTTGTTAGCAGGTAATTCAATAATGATTGCTTGTGACTAGGCTCAATAGTCAGAGAGTTTATCAGCTGACCACCAAATGACCTCTGAATGAACCTCCTTAGATTTCTCTAACTTGTCTTATTCACAAGGCACTCTTGTTCCAAGAGGTCAGATACAGTTATCAGTGGCAAAAGACAGCACCTGTTTTTAGATGGCTCATAAGTTAGTGGTCCTACAGGGATTAATATGCTGCTTTATACATTATGGGGGCTTCCCTGGTGGCTCAGAGAATAAAGAATCCACTCGCAACGCAGGAGACCTGGGTTCGACCCCTGGATTTGAAAGATCTCCTGGAGAAGGAAATAGCTACCCATTCCAGTATTCTTGTCCAGAGAATTCCATGGACAGAGGAACCTGGAGGGCTATAGCCCATGAAATCACAGAGTTGGACACGCCTGAGCGACTAAGCATAAAAACGTTATGGACTGCATGGATTCAGGAAAAGCAACAAGGAAGCAAAGAAAAAGCGAGGTGCTGTCCTGTCCCTTATGAAGTCTGTGATGCAGTCCAGGGAGGCATGCTGGTGTCTGAGCCCCTCACGAGAGCCTCCCACCAGTCTTTCTTCCCCACACCGCTGCACCCTACCCTATCCACCTGTTGCCCTTCTGTCTGATCTGTCTTCCTGACCAGCTGTTACTCTCCCCAGGACAGCCGAGTCCAGGCTCTTCAACCCTCAGAACCCATACAGTACGGTCCTGGTTACATGAATCTCTTCTCCAGATTCACCCTCAACGCCCTGTGAGGATACTACCTGCAGCCTTCATCCCCACCCGAGTTATCACCTCCCCATCCTTTGTTTAGCCAGAATCTACCTGGACTTCAAGTTTGAGTTCTCCTCCTCCATGAAACTTGTCAGAACATCCTAGCCTTCAGTTCTCTCTCTCTCTCCCTTTCCTATTCAAGGGACTTTCTGCTTCGGCAAAGATTTCATTTAGCAACCAATCTACCAGGTTAAATCATTGGTTGACTGTGTAGAGGCCAGAATTTACACCTTCTTGGTATCCCCAGGCCTTATTCTAGCACTGTTTTTCCTTACCTAGTATTCCTCAACAAACGATAGTAAGTCATGATGATGCTGATAAAAGTGGTAAATAACAGATGATGTGATGCCTTACAACATTCCTGATATATTGACACATATAGCTGCTATATTTCAAATTTCCTTATGTCTTACTTCTCCAAACCACACTATAGTTTCTCTGAGAATCCAGGCATGTCTTCCACTTTTTTGTTTTATTCCTAATTTTTAGTCCAGCACTGTGTGAACTGTAGAGATTTACTACATAATTTCTGGTTTAATTTAATTAATTTGGTATAAGCTGACACAAATATCTACAACATGAAATACAAATATCTATGCCACTGCTAAAGACCATAAATTAATTACCATTTTTCAGTAGTGTTAGTAGACTGCCTTGTGTTGACATTTTGCTACTCAGTCTCATGGGTTATTTATTTAATTAACAGCTACTTGCCCATTAGAGTTCACTAGCATATCAAAAAATTTTTTTCTGAGATCTACTGAAAAGAATAAATTGTACATGTGTTTACTCTGTGACCCTAAATTGTGTTACTTTAAGAGGTGTTATATCTGTTTGATGACCTAGGAGTCCCTAAGAAGACAACAAAGTGTGCAAAACATAGGTATATAACTATTCTGTAAATATATAAATATTGTAAATATATGTAAAAAGCATAATACATGGATTTGCTGATGGTTTAAATCTCTTCTGAAGTAAATCAAGGTAAAATAAGTCAATTTGATTCTACAGGACTTTGTCTTGCTTGAGCAAGAAATATAAAAATGCAGGAAGGTACACTAGGGTTAGTGTTAGTTGTGTCTCCAGGAGTTGCCATAATTTTGCTGCTGTTGTTCAGTTGTTAAGTTGTGTTCGACTCTTTGAGGCCCCATGGACTGCAACACACCCTCTCCTTCACTATCTCCCGGAGCTTGCTCAAACTCATGTCCACTGAGTCAGTGATGCCATCCAACCATCTCATCCTCTGTCTCTCCCTTCTCCTCCCACCCTCAGTCTTTCTCAGCATCAGGGTCTTTTCCAGTGAATCAGGTCTACGCATCAGGTGGCCACAGGACTGGAGCTTCAGCTTCAGCATTAGTCGTTCCAGTGAATATTCAGGGTTGATTTGCTTTAAGATTGACTGGTTGGATCTCCTTGCTGTCCAAGAGATTCTCAAGAGTCTTCCCCAGCACCACAGTTTGAAAACATCAGTTCTTCAGTGCTCAGCTTTCTTTATGGTCCAAATCACACATCCTTACATGACTACTCGAAAAACCATAACTTTGACTACTATGGACCTTTGTTGGCAAAGTAATGTCTCTGCTTTTTAATATGCTGTCTAGGTTTGTCATAGCTTTTCTTCCAAGGAGCAAGCGTCTTTTAATTTCGTGGCTGCAGTCACTGTCTGCAGTGATTTTGGAGCCCAAGAAAATAAAATCTGTCACTGTTTCCACTGTTTCTGCGTATGTTTGCTGTGAAGTGATGGGACCGGATGCCATGATTTTGTTTTTTGAATACTGAGTTTTAAACCATCTTTTTCACTCTCCTCTTTCACTCTCATCAAGAAGCTCTTTAGTTACAAGTTCTTAACTTGTTTCCTAGACTTTCTGTTGGTTGTTGCTTCTGGCACATCAAAGGAAGACAATATGTCATTTTTGGCTGTAATGAAGTTCTGTGTTGGAATAATCTTTCCTTCTACTCCCAATAAGCAGTCCATTCGCTATTGAAATGAGAGCCTGCCAAGAAAAAAGAAAGCTAAATTGCAGCAGGCAGAATAGATCAATGTTTGAGTCTACCTAGTAAGCAAGTAAACCAAGCCATTGCCTTGAAATTGGACAGATTGAGCTTAAAATGACTTCCTACATTGAAGGACTGATGTCATTTGTGCTTTTCTTAGAGTTCATACACCGAAAGACTTTATCTTGAAGCAAAGAACATAGATAAACATGAATAAACCCACAGTCTTGTTTTTTATACAAGGTTTAAATGCAGTCCACGGTCAGGCCTGTCACCCACCACTCCTGTTTCACTTAGGACCAGATCTTTTAATGAAATCATTGAATTATTAAAGAAGCACTTCTCACCAGCCCATCAGTCACTGTTTAGGGATTTATATTTCACAAACAAAATCAATAGTCTCATGAGGACATTGCTGTTTATATTGCAGAGCAACACCATCTGTCAACCTTGAAACTTGGGTAAATTTTTATATGGCATGCTAAGGAACCACCCTCTATTCAGAGACCTTAAAAAAGTTTCTTTGAGTGCCTCTTAACAACATTGAACACATTTAACAGTCTAAGAAGAGGGCATAGTTAATAAAATGCAACTATATATAAGAAAGTCTTCCTCAGCAATCAATGCAAAGAAATAGAGGAAAACAATAGAATAAGAAAGACTAGAGATCTCGTCAAGAAAATTAGAGCTACCAAGGGAACATTTCATGCAAAGATGAGCTCAATAAAGGACAGAAATGGTATGGACCTAACAGAAGCAGAAGATATTAAGAAGAAGTGGCA